CTCCTCTCTGGTTCTGGGGTGCATCACCAGAGAACCACTGCTGCCAAGTCACCGCAGCTCCGCAGCTCCTGCCTTGAGCGTCATAGCTACCGGACAGATGGTCACTTAGCCGTGTGTGTGTGTGTGTGTGTGTGTGTGTGTGTGTGTATATATGGCTAATATGTTAAGTGTCCCTCCTACTGTCCAACCAGTCGCTGTGATGTGTACTGATAACCACGGGCAGATGCTCAATGCAAGAGCTGCTGTGACACACACTAGTCATTTACAAAGAAATGACACTGTGGACCTGGTGCTGACAAAACAACACTTGGCTTCCCCCAAGTGGGACACAGGCCCCGCCACCACCCTGGAGCCACAGCCCGCCAATACTGCTCAGACCCCATGGTGCAAAATACGGCCCCTAACCCAGCCCAACTCAGAAACAGCAGCTGTGGGTAGCTGTTGAGAACCGCTGCTTTAGAGCCATAAGACTATCGGAAAACAAAGATATTTACGTTACAATTCATAATAGCAAAATTACAGTTATGAAGTAGCAACAAAAATAATTTTATGGTTGGTGGTCACCACAACATGAACCGTATTAAAGGGTTTGCAGCATTAGGAAGGTTGAGAACTACTGCTCTAACGGAAGGTGGTGCTCACTTGTCATTCAATTTTTATATCCTTTATTATTATTTTTTATAAATATCAGAATTTTATTTTTTATAGTTCTGGAGGCTGGAAGTCCAAGATCAAGGTGCCAGCAGATTTAGTGTCTGATGGAAAAAGCTATAGCTTTTATCAATGCTATTAGCCTTGGTTGGAATTGTAGGATCTCGATAACGAACCCAAAAGACTGTTTGGTCACCTCACGCGGACATGTTAGCATGAGGTAGACCTGGGCCCAGCCTCTCTCCCTGTGCTTCCTGAACGTTTCTGCACAGCTCTGGGGAGGCAGGTGTGGGCCAGAGGGCACACAATACACCTCTTCACTGTAGCTAACAGTTGTGCAAGCTGCTTCCTGCTGACTGAAGGACCCTTCTGGAAAGTTCCAGAAAGGGCCTCTGGACACAGCCAGACTAGCTTGTGAATCGTGTCCTGCAGGCAGAGCTTCATGTCAGCCTTGCCCAGCCCTAGTGCCCCCTTTCCTGCCCATGTCCTGCCCTGTTTGTGCCTCTGTCTGCACCCTTGTGCGGGCAGGCAGGTTGCCTCCTCCAGCGAGCTCAGGCCCTGAGCAAGTCAGTGGGCTGCCGCCAGTCCTGACCTGTCATGGAGGTGAGGGGCCCGGTCAGGCCCAGTGTGGGGCCCAATCTGGAAGACGTCAGTAGAAAAATACCATGAGAGAGGAGTGGTGTGAGTGTTGAACCCGAATCAGGATTCCCCCTGCCTCAGTGTCTGCGTGACCCTTTCCACCCCTCCTCTACACCCCCAGTGGCCATTCTGGTACATTCTACTTCCTCTCTTAGCTCAGCCTCCCAGCTTGGCCTCTCTCCTCTCCAACTTGGCCTCTGTCCGGTGCTCGTTGTGAAACAGAAATCTGATCACGTGCTCCCTTCTGGCTCGACCCTACCACTGCCTCTCCGATGCCCAGGCGGCTAGGTTTATTTCTCGTCCTCTGAAGTCGTCCTCGTTTCCCTTGATGTGTGTTAGGGAGACACATCTACTTTTGCTGTGTTTCATTGTCATATGCAGCTGTGTAATACTCCTTTGCATGTATAAGCCATAGTTTTGCTTGCAAATAATGCCTCTGAATACACCAGGTAGGATCATTGGTGTCCGTGTTCCTCAAGCACATGTGAGGATCTCTCTAGCCTACTGGTTCTTACTGAGGGCAACTCCCCCTGGAGACACTGGGCCATGTCTGGGGACATCTGTGGTTGTCATGACTGGGGGTGCTCGAGGCATTAGGTGTGGGTAGAGGCCAGGGATGCTGCTCAGTGCTCGGAAGTGCCCAGGATGGCCCCTCCCCACAGAATGACCAGGCGAATGAGGGATGTCTGCCTTACCATGGAGATGCTGGGCCCTAGGTGTGAATGTCTTGTTTATGCTTTTTAAGGCCATTTGGCTTGTCCTTTGCTGGTTTCCCTGTCACAGTTACAATGGGGGCATTTGTCCATCTTTTTTTTTTTTTTTAATAAACTTTATTTTTGAGAGCAATCTTAGCTTCTCAGCAAAATGATGAGGCAGGTTCGGAGATTTCCTGTGTACTCACACAGCCAGATGGTGCATTTGTTATAATCCATGAACCTAGATTGGCATATCATAGTCACCAGAGTCCATAGGCTACCTTAGGGTTCACTCTTGGTGTCATAAATTCCATAGGGTTGGAAACTTCACAGAGTAATTTCACTGCCTTAAAAACACTCTGTGCTAAACCTATTTATCCTCCCTCCACTTTCTGGCAGCCACTGCTCCTTTCACTGTATCCATAGTTTTGCCTTTTCCACAATATCATACACAGATGCCCTCTGACTTGTGATGGATTATTATATCTTGAGAAGCTGAAATACTGTAAGTGAAAAACATATTTAGCCCGGGCCAATGGTTAGTGCATCGGCCTGAGGACCTAAGAGTCGATTTCTGATCAAGGGCACTTGACATGGTTGTAGTTCATCCTCACCCCGGTCAGTCAGGGTGTGTACGGGAGGCAACCAATCGATGTGTCTCTCTCACACTGATGTTTTCCTCCTCTGTCTCTCTTCCTCTCCCCTTTTCCCTCTCCCTCTCCTCTCACCCTCCTACTCTCTCTAAAAGTCAATGGAAAAAAATATCTTAGGTGAGTATTAAAAATAAAACAAGACGTACTTAGTACACCTAATCTACTGAACACAGAATGTAAGTGATAGAACACTTACATTCACCTACTGTTGGGCAAAATCCTCTTGATGCAGCTGCCCAGCACCACACGAGAGTCTTAGACTGAAATATCGCCAGCCTGGGACAAGATCCAAATTCAAAATTCAAAGTATGGCTACTACTGAATGCCTATTGCTTTTGCACCATTGAAAGTCAAAATAATTGCAAGTTGAACCATTTTAAGTCGAGGACCATCTGTGGATGGGATTATATATATGTAGCTTTCTTTTTCTTTTTGAAATAAATTTTTATTGATTTCAGAGAGGAAGGGAGAGAGAGATAGAAACATCAATGATGAGAGAGAGTCATCAATCAGCTGCCTCTCCTGCATGCCCCCTATTAGGAATCGAGCCCACAACCCAGACATGTACCATTGACTGGAATCGAACCCGGGACCCTTCAGTCCGCAGGCTGATGCTCTATCCAATGAGCCAAATTATCTAGAATCTTTTTTAACATATGCAATTCAGTATTCTGCTCTCTATTATATAGATTTGCAACTGTCATCACAGTAACTTTTAGGACATTTTCATCCAAAGGAAACTACACCTTTTAATTATCATTGCCTTATTCCCCATCTTCCTCCCCCAGCCCCTGGCAACCGTCACCCACTTTCTGTCTCTGTGGATTTGCCTGTTCGGACATTTCACATAGATGAAAGCACACACTGTGTGGCCTTTTGTGTCTGTCTTCTCACTGAGCATTCTATTTTCAAGGTCCATTCACGTTGTAGTGAGTGTCAGTGCTTCAGTCCTTTTCATGGCCGAATAATACTCCATCATGTGAATGGATAAACATGTGACATCTAGGGGGATTTCAGAGGGGCCCTGGCAGCCTCTGCAGCTGTAAGCAAGTGATGGTGTGTCCAGATGCATTTTTTTGGGGGGGAAGGAGTCATCCATCAAATTCTCAGGTTTGTGATGAAGAAAGAAAAACAACCACTGGACTGAAGGATGACCTTGGATCCTGGTACTTACTTCCACTGTGACCCCTGATGCTGTTTGCATATTAATTGCAACCAGTTCTTTGAAACATCAGCTTTTGGTAAAAATTTGGACAGAGGGAAGTGTATGTTTTCCTCTCTTTTTTCTTTAGGGCACTGCTTCTGAACCAGGTTGTTCTGCCCCAAGGGGACAGTGGAAGTTTGGAGACATCTGTGGTTGGCATGCCTGGGGGAGCTCCTGGCATTGGGGGTGGGGGCCAGGTGTGTTGTTCAACAACTTGCAATGCTCAGGATAGCCCTCCACAGAGAACGATCCCATCCTAATGTTAACACAGACCTACCTTAGGGTCATCTGGACTGAACAAGGTGAGGGTCATCTGGACTGAACAAGGTGCACTTGTGGGTCCTTGTTGAATGTTGGCGGAGTGCTGTGGGATAGTTTCTAATAAAAGGTAACTCCTTGGCCCTGTGCCATCAGGATGCAACTCAGAAGACAAACTCCTTCACACCTGCGGAGTCACACCCAGAGGTGCAGATTGCTGAGCTGTGCCGGGCAGTGTCCTGTTAGCAGGTGTCTAGTGCGGGTGGAATTAGCCTCAAGGAGTTAATAGAGAGGGGTGGAGTTAATGGACTTGAGAAGTTGCCCTGTGTGGATAAGACCTGAGCTAGAGCTTTACAAAGGAGACTTGTGGATGTTGGGGTGTATGTCTCCTTGGACTCACATAGGCTGGGTCTCCTCCCTGGGCACTGCTGACATTGGGGCAGGCCATTGGGAAGGTTTTGCAGTATTTCTGGTCCTATGCACTCCATCATGACAACCATAGATGTCCCCAAACATTGTGTGCCAGTGGCACCTGTATGCTGGATTGCCCTCAGTTGAGAATGACAATGTGTGCTTATTGTAACAAAAGTTGCAAAGCATGTTAACACATGAAGTACTAAGGAAACCTCCCCTGACGTCTGATGTGTGTCCACAGCCCAGCAGGATTATGCTGTGCTCATGGGGACAGTTACCTGATGACACAGAGAGTCCTCATTTGAGAGGGTCCGGGGACCCTGGGGAAGGGGTATCAGTGTGCATGCCCAGGAGGGAACAGGTTTTATTGTTCCATGATCTGAGGGCAGATTCCATCCTTAGTGCACAGCATGTTCCTGTGCCTGGCACCCAGAAGACAAACTAAATACAGGCAGGTAAGTGACCTCTGTCTTGGTATCTCTGCAGATGGAGGATGGCCACACCCTCTTTGACTATGATGTTCGCCTGAATGACACCATCCAGCTACTGGTTCGGCAGAATATCGTGCCTCCCCTGAGCAGCAGCAACAACCAGGAGAGAGACTCTGAGCTTTCTGACACGGATTCTGGCTACTGCCTGGGCCAGAGCGAGTCGGATAAGTCTTCCACTAGCGGTGAGGTGGACAGAAATGCAGGCTTAACAGATGAGGCAATCTATGAAGAGACGGATCTGGGCCTTTACAAGGTGAGGCTCCTGCAGAAGGTTTGGGGTCTGGCTAATCTCTGCACCCCTGAGGATCATTCCTCATGCTCCACTGACTTTGGCTTCCCCACCACCCAGCCATGAGCTCATGAGTCAACTCCCCTCCATCCCGGTGGCTGGGCACCCACAGTCCTGCCGTGAAAACATGAAGTTTTCTTTGGCAGAAACGTGCTACTCCAAATTTCTTTCTGATCCCTGAAACAGAATCCTGGGTCTGGCCTACAGGTGTCTGCTATGGCCTTTGTAGTGGCTGTAAAATTTCTGAATTCTCTGCCACCTTCTAAGATCATGAAATTTCATATAATGGATTCTCAGCTTTTCTTGAGAAATGGACAGTTCTGGCCTCCCTAGGCTGATTCTGCTTCCAGGGAAATTGGCAAAATCTTGCGACATTTGTGGATGTCATGACTGGGGATACTGCTGACATCAAGTATCCCCAGTCATGGGGGACAGAGATTCTCAACACCCACCCATGGCCAGGATGGTCCCTCACAGAGGGCTCCCAATGTCCACAGTGCTGCATTCAAGAAACCCAATTCCTGGCATTTGGATTTGCATCCCAGGCCTGAAACGGCCAGTGCCAAGGATCAAAACAGGCCCTGACCTATGACGAGTGAGTGTTGCTGATCAGAATTCCTTCCCTGGGTTGGATAAGAGAGTTTTACTTTTACCTTGCAGGTCAATGAGTACGTTGATGCTCGGGACACGGATGTGGGAAGTTGGTTTGAGGCGAAGGTTGTCAGGGTGACAAAGAAGCCACCATCCCAGGACACGCCTTGTAGCTCTACCTCATCCCAGGATGCACCCTCTAGTTCCGCCTCGTCCCAGGATGCAGCCCGTAGCTCCGCCTCATCCCAGGATGCACCCTGTAGCTCCGCCTCATCCCAGGATGCACCCTGTAGCTCCGCCTCGTCCCAGGATGCACCCTGTAGCTCCGCCTCGTCCCAGGATGCAGCCCGTAGCTCCGCCTCATCCCAGGATGCACCCTGTAGCTCCGCCTCATCCCAGGATGCAGCCCGTAGCTCCGCCTCGTCCCAGGATGCACCCTGTAGCTCCGCCTCGTCCCAGGATGCAGCCTGTAGCTCCGCCTCGTCCCAGGATGCACCCTGTAGCTCCGCCTCGTCCCAGGATGCACCCTGTAGCTCCGCCTCGTCCCAGGATGCACCATGTAGCTCTGCCTCGTCTCAGGACGCACCATGTAGTTCCGCCTCGTCTGAGGACCCATGCTGTAGCTCCAGCCTGTCCCAGGATGCACCCTGTAGCTCCACCTCCACTTTGGAAGAAGATGACGACGTCATTTATCATGTGACATATGATGAGTGAGTGTCACTGCAGGGAGGTGGTGGGCCTAAACTGTTGGTTCTATATATATAGAACCTGGAGTTTGGTACAGCCTTGGGGATGATGGTCAGGATTCGAGGCTCCCACTCTCATGCTCCCAAAGAACACAGGAGGCCACCCACTCTCATGCTCCCAAAGAACACAGGAGGCCACACCTAGAGGACTAGTGTCACAGGGACCCAAAACTAGGCTGGCCCCTCCTCAGGTCTCCTTGGAGAACTCTGCTCTGACCTTCCAGTCAGACATCCCCTTCCATTTCTTGTTTTATTTTACTCATTCCACGTATCATTGGTTCCACATGAAACCATCTTACGTGTTTGTCCTCTCCCTCACTGTAATACATATTTATTGAGCACTTAACTGTGTGTCAGGCCCTGTGCTGGCCACAGGGAATTCTTGTCTGTTAACCCAGAGGGTATCTTAGTAGGCTTGGGCTCCATACAACATACCACATGCTGGGTGGCTTAAACAGCAGACATTTATGTTCTCAGAGTTTTGGCGGTAGGAAGTCCAAGATCACAGTATTGGTAGGGTTGTTTCCTTCTTGACTGTCTCCTCACTGTGTTCTCACATGGAAAGAGAGCGAGCTCTGGTCTCCTTTAATAAGGACACTAACCTCATCAGATTAGGGACCCAATTGTATGACCTCATTTAACTTCAGGGATCTCCCGAAAGGCCCCATCTCCGAATGATAGTCACATTGCGGGGAGGGTTACAATTCAGTCCATAACAGGGCAAGCATGGCTGCCTATAGGATAAGGTGACCAGATCGTCGTGCTTTTGGCAGGACAGTTTCAGTTTCTAACAAATTTTCCTGCGTCCCGAGGCGTTTTAAAAAAGTCCCGATTTTTTGAAAGATTGGAAAGATTCTTTCAGAAAATCGGGACTTTTTAAAACACCACGGGATGCAGGAAAAATTGTTAGAATTGGGACTGTCCCGCCCAAAGCGGGTCGATCTGGTCACCTTACTATAGGGAGCTCACATTCCAAAGGGCACAAGAGCTTCCTTTGGTTCTGCTGGATCCCACTGCTTATCCCAATTTATGGCACATACTAAGCTTTTAGCTCTATAAAAATTATTGAAGTAATTGAATAATGAATCACTGTAGACACAAGATTCCCATCCTAAGGCTTGAGGGCTAACGAAGCTGTATTGAAACACATCAATGCCCATTTATATTTGCCTATTGCCTGTGGATGTTTTCTTAGTGATAGCAGCACAATTGAATATCCATGATAGAGACCTTCTAGCTCACAAAGCCAAAAATACAGTAAACCCTCAATTTAATGGACTTGGGATTTAACAGACAAAATTTCTGGTCTGTAAGTCATATGTGAAAATTAATAGCCTGATGCCTGGCTGGTGTGGCTCAGTGGTTGAATGTCAGCCATGAACCAGGAGATCATGGTTCAATTTCCCATATGCCTGGGTTGCAGGCTTGATCCCCAGTTTGGGGCAAGCAAGAGACAGCAGATCAATGATTCTCTCCAATCATGTTTCTATTGCTCCCTCTCCCTCTCTGAAATCAATAAAAATATATTAAAATAAACAACAACAAAAGAATTATTTGGAAATGTTTAAATGAATCTCCGAGTATGAATTAAAAAAAAAAAAAAATTTAACACCCTGTTAATTTTGAAATGCTTTTAACCAAGTGTTGTTTATAATTAAATTACAGGTTATTTTTGTTATTAATTCACTTATTTTAAACAAATTTTAGTGATTAAGACATGTTGCAGAAAACACTGTAGTAATTTTGCCAATATAAATAAATGTACATCTATAGCTATAGTCTACATATTTAAATCCAAATGTCACCACTTCTAAACAATGTTCAGCAAACGATTAGCACATAACCACACTGCATGGCACTTAGTATTAGTGCTGTGGTCGAGAGTGGCGTGACTTTTACAGCAGTTTTCATGCATGCTGGCTGATGTTCTGATGTGCTAAGCTACGCCACCCACGTGTGCATTTGTTTACTCAGGTGACTAGTGAATGCACACATTTACTAGATCAATTCAGTATAAATTTAAAATTACAGTATAATACATATAGAAAACTTCTCTGTGAAACTAAACTTTTCATACATACTTAATTTTAATTACACAAATATGTCTGCATAAGTAAAAACAGGTCAACTAATTTGTCAATTTTTTAACGTACACATTCGGAAAACATAGTCTATTATATAACGGGCTTTCCGCTTTAATGGACACCCCCTCACTCAAATTAGTCTGTTATATCGAGGTTTTACTGTATTTACTATCTGGCCCTTTATAGGAAAAGTTTGGCAACCTTTGCCTTTGGTGGTTTACTAGTGAAAATAATGAGCGCCAGGCATATAGCTACTCATAATAGATTTGAAATTGTCTCCCACAGGTGAGGTTTAAATTTGTTTCTGGTAGAATTTGTTTCTTTCAGACCAATTATTTTTGTCTTTTATGAGGCTGCTGGAATATTTCTGTATATCCAGCATAATGACTTCCTATATCGTATCCTAATAGCCAATGCATTATGTTTACATAAATGAGTTAATGCATGTCCCTCTGCAAAAATCATTTTCAGAATGTGAAAAATGTTAGTTTACAGTTTCAGAGGCCAAAATCAAGGTGTCAGCCAGGCCATGATTTTCCCGAAATCTGTAGGAGAGAATCCTTCCTCGCCTCTTTCAGCTTCTGATTGTGGTCGGCATGCCTTGGCTGGTGACCATATTCGAGCCTCTGTCTCCCCTTTCATGTGTCATTCTCTGTGTCTGAGTTGTTCCCTCTTGTAAGGACACCAGTTATAATGGATTAAGGCAGTGTGACTTAACTTGAGTACATCTGCAAAGACTTTATTTTCAAATTAGGTGCCATATCCAGGTGCTAAGGGTTAGACCACCAGCATATCTTTTTGGGGGACACCAGGTCAACCCACAACACCTTCTGTAATTGAAACCTGTCTTCTGCACCTGTGTATTTTCGACACCAGCAGAGGGGAATTTACTTGCTGCTTCGATGAGATAACCTTCACCTCTGTTGTGGGTGGCTTTCTCCTCTCTTCTCTCTTCGGAGGGAAAGGGGTCTGGTGTTGCCCTGGAATCTGAATGTGGGTTTGCCTCCTAGTTACCCAGAATACGGTGTGGTCCAGATGAGTTCACAGAACGTCCGGGCCCGAGCCCGAGAAATCATCAGATGGCAGGATCTGAAGGAGGGCCAGGAGGTCATGCTCAACTACAACCCCGACAAGCCGAAGGATCGGGGCTTCTGGTACGATGCGGTGATCCAGCGGAAGAAGCAGACCCGGACATCACGGGAGCTGTATGCTAACATCAGTCTTGGGTGAGTGGCTATCCAGCCAGCGCTCTGTGGACAAGGCCCTCAGCCTCCACCTGTCCTCCCTCTGGGACTCCACTCCAACTTCCTGCTGGTTTACTGGTGATCTGAGGCTGACCCTTCATGCCCCTGCTCGGGAACCATTTCTGAGCCTCAGGTGGAATTGTCGGCCTTCCTTGTTCTCTTTTATTTGTTGTTTTAGATTTGGCAAATAGGTAAGAACTTAAAATGCATCCAAGTCAGAAGGTACTGCCCTGGCTGGTGTTTCTCAGAGGTCAGAGCGTCAACCTGCGCACCATAGGGTCTCAGATTTGATTCCCTGACAAGGGCACATACCTCGGTTGCAGGTTTGCTCCTCACCCTGTCGGGGCGCCTGTGGGATGGTCTCTTATATTGATGTTTCTATCTCTCTCCTCTCCTCCCTCTCTTCCACTCTCTGGAAAGCAATGGGAAAAAATATCCTCAGGGAGGATTACAAAAAAAAAAAAAAAATTCCCTGAACTTCCAGGAACATTCTGTGCATAAACAAGCATAAACATATACAAACACACCAACCCACATGTGCTCTGTATCCATGGTCAGCAAACTGTAGGCCAGAGCTGGCCCTTAGCCTGTTTTGGCAAATAAAGTTTTATTGGCACACAGCCACACCCATCTGTTTGCTGATTATCTGTGGCTCCTTTTATGTTGGAAGTGCACATTTGAGTAGTTGGGAAAGAGACTGAAAACATGTACTGCTTGAATTTTTGCAGAAAATATTTGCCCGTCTCTGTCCTACTTTGCCTTTTCTTATGTGTGTGTTAAAACAATATATAATGCAAAACTTACTATCCTAATCATTTTTAAAAATATGTTTTTATTGGTTATAGAGGGGAAAGGGGAGAGAAACATCCATGTGATAGGATGCCTCCTGCATGCCCCCTTCTGGGGATGGAGCCTGAAATCCGGGCATGTGCCCTCACTGGCAATTGAACCAGCGACTTTTTGGTGCTCAACCAATTGAACCACACCAGTGTTTTTTTGTTGTTAATCTTCATCTGAGGATATTTTTTCCATTGATTTTTTTTTTTTTTTTTTTTTTTTTAGAGTGAAAGGAGGGGAAAAGACAGAGGCACACATCAGTGTGAGAGAGACACATCAATTGGTTGCCACCCGCATGAGCTCTGGCCAGGCGGGAATGGAGAGGTGGGAATGGGGATAGAGCCCACAGTGAAAGTATACGCCCTTGACTGGAATCAAACCTGCGACCCTTCAGTCTCCGGGTAGATGATCTAACCATTGAGCAGCCAGTCAGGGCCATCCTAACCATTTTTAAGTGTACAGTTTAGGAACATTAAGAACATTCACATTGTTGTGTGACCATCAACACTTCCCATTTCCAGAACTTTTTAATCATCCCAAACAGAAACCATTTTCATTAAACACTAACTCCCAGTCCCCCCCAGCCTAACACCCATCTCCTTTCTGTCCCTCCTCCAGGGACCTCATAGGAATGAAATCATAGAGCATTTGTCTTTTTGTGTCTGGCTTATTTCACTCAGCATAATGTCCTCAAATCTCATCCATGTAGTATCGTGTGTCAGACCTTCCTTTTGGTGACTGGATAAGATTTCATTGTATATAGTGACTATAGACACATACCTGGACAACCATGTCCCAAACACAGATAGGTGCAAAGGTTCTGGAACAGGCCCATTCCTGGTCCATTTGTGGCCTAGCGAGGAGGCCAGTGGGCTGGAGTGGAGGGAGAGAGGGAGTGAAGAGTGGAGACTGGAACCCCTCCATGAGTTTGGATATTCAGAGTATGGCCAGGAGTGGTACAGAACTGGTGTTTAGTCTTTATTGCTGGCAGTCATTGGGGCATTTTGAGCCTGGGAACCACATGCTTTGACCTGCAATTGAGAACCATCACTCTGGCAGCCATGCAGGGAATGGACTGCAGGGGCCGCATGGCAGCCAGGACGCCAGGGAGGAGGCTGCAGTGATGTTATTGTTTCATTGCTTTTCTCTATTGTTTTCTTGTTTCCAATTTCATTGATTTGCTCTCATCCTTTTGCTTTTCTCCTTTCCTTGGATTGATTTTCTCTTCTTTTTCTAGTGTCATGAGGTAGCAACTAAGACTAGTGACCTTGAGAAAATTTTCTATTTTAAACATTTTAGTACTATAAATTCACCTCTTAAGCAGTGCCTTAACTGCTTTCCACACATTCTGCTATGTTATATTTTTATTTTTATTCTATTTTTTAAAGAATATATACTTTAATTAATTTCAGAGAGGAAGGGAGAGGGAGAGAGAGAGAGAAACATCAATGATGAATCATTGATTGGCTATCTCCTGCACATCTCCCAACTGGGGATTGAGCCCATAACCCAGGCATGTGCCCTGACCAAGAATCGAACCATGACCTCTTGGTTTAAAGGCCAACCACTGAGCCATGCTGGTTGGACTCTATTTTATTTCCTTTGAGACTTCCCCTTTGACTCCTGGCTTACTTAGAAGTAAGATGTTTAATTGAAAAATATTTAGAGATTTTTTGCATTGTTTTTCTGTTATCTTCTATCTATCTATATAAAAGCCTAAGACCGTCCAACCATCCGACGGATAGCTATGACATGCACTGATCATCAGAGGGCAGATGCTCAACGCACAGGCATGGAAACATGGAACAGACTGATGAATCTCAAAGGAAAAGGGGAAGGGGAGGGTGGGAATAGATTAACAAAGATCTTATATGCATACTAGATTTGTGCCCCAGTGGGGTCTTGACCTGGTCTTCGGGGATCGGGCAGAAATCAGCTCTCTGACATCCCCTGAGGGGTCCCAGATTGTAAGAGGGCGCAGGCCTGGCCAAAAGACCCCACAGCCATGGGCCACAAGCTGCCGAGCTCTTGCAGTGTGGCCCATGCACACTGAGATGTGCCCTGGGTGTGCAACACTGGCTGTATTTGAAAAAAAGCTATTAATCTGTACTTTCTGTTGAATTTGGCTGTGAACCAAATACTGCTCTAAAAAATAAAGTCTACTACTTAATAAAAGGCTATTAATAATTCTTTACTATTCATTGCATATTGAAATAATCTTTTGTGTACATTGGGTTACATAAAACATATTCACATGAATTTTATCTGTTCTTAACTTTCTGAATATAGTTACTAGGAAATGTGGAATTACCCATGTGGCACCTGTTCGTGGCTTGTGGTCATTTCTGTTGGACATTGTGGATGTACTGTGGAACCTCAGTTCTTGAACTTATTGGTTCTGCAAGACTATTTGAGAAGCAATTTGTTCGAAAACCGAATCATTTTTCCCCATTAAAAATAATGTAAATGGAATTAATCTATTCAGACCCCCAAATGCTTTCGTTTTAACTTTTCTTATATATAGCACATGTCTAATACACTGTTTAATCTATAAATACTCAAATTTATCAAAGCACCCCCTACTAGCCTTAAATGAATTTTTAAATTATTGCTGCCTCTGAAATGCAATCACTGGTTAACTGCTTATCAGTTATCCAATCAACAACAGTTTTTCTACCTATTCAATTGCCTGTGATTGTTGTTTTGTGAGCACTTTCACATCCTTAGCAACATTAGCACTCTTTCTGGTTTCTTTGTTTTAAAATTGTGCTAATCATTGATTTTGCTAGCAACAAAAGCATTCTCTCTTTTGTTCCCTGAGAGATGCTTTTTGTCATGCTGAGGTGTCAACATGAAAGGGTTGTCAGATTGAAAACTGAAGTTTTGGTCTAGATAGCCACATCTGAGAATCAGGTTTGACTGTCTGTGAGGTCATTTTAACTTAGAGGAGCTTTTGTATTTTGATAAAAGCAAGTTGATCAGATTTGACCATGGTGATTCCTGCATGATGGGCCCTGTTCAATCGGCCTCTCCTGGCCCGGAGGTTAGAACTTACTCTCATTGTATCACGTAATGAAACTGTTTTATACTCTGCTTTTTTTTTTTTTTTTTTTTTATCTTGTATTTGATTTAATAGGACTTGAATTGGCAAGGGCAGTAGCTGTGTGAATGACTAGGGCCCTGAGGAGACTCTTAACTCAGTGCCATTAGAGAGGTGCTCATATGCTCCGAGAATATGCTGGGTGGCCAAGTCCTCTTGGAGGTGCCTTCGCAGGGCTGGTGAACTGGAATGTTCTAATGGCTTGTCTCTCACAGGAGTGGTTCTCTCAGCAATTGTCGGATCGTGTTTGTGGATGAAGTTTTCAAGATTGAGCGTCCTGGCGAGGGGAGCCCCATGATTGAAAACCCAGTGAAAAGTGAGTTCTGATTCTGCCCTCTGTGTCTCTGGAATGAGGGGTGGGGCTCCTGTTTCTTTGGCTGGCCCTGCCAAGCTGACCCCCGCTGCTGTGTCCAGGGAAGAACAAGCCCTTCTGCAATAAATGCAAGGACAACCCGAGCAAGCCCTGCCACGAGTGTTCCTGCAGCCTGTGTGGGAGCAAGCAGGATCCTGACAAGCAGCTCATGTGTGATGATTGCGACCATGCCTTTCACTTATATTGTCTCAACCCGCCTCTCAGCAGTGTTCCCCCGGAGACGGAGTGGTGAGTGGATGCCTTGAATGTTCCAGTGCCGGGCTTGGGGCCGCGGTGCTGAGCTATCCAGGAGAGGGGGCTGGTGGGTGCCAATAAATAGCACGAATGTTGTCTGTCCCTGGTAAACCCATCAGGGCAGTGAGAGAAATGGGGTGAGGGAACGTCCTGTGACCCAGGTGTGGCCTAGGCCTCTGGGTAACTGAGGGGAGGCAGAGAGCCGGGCATCTCCGCATTGCCCAAGAGCAGGTTTGTTGGCCATGATGCTCTTGGCACAGACTAGTAACTGCCAACGTCATCGAAAGGTGGGGTTACACAAGGCTCTGGTGTTAACACCCTAACCTGTTAACAGTGGTCACTATAACTTGGAGGTGGCTGTTTTTATAAGCCCTCTTTGTGGAGATGGGGAAACTGAGTCTATGGCAGTGAGGAGGTGCCCATGGAATTTCCCTTGGGGAGGTGCTGTGAGGGACAAGAGTCTGTTCAGTAGAATGTTCTGGAATTATGGCAAGGTTCTCTCTCTGCACTTTCCATGACAGTTGACACTCCGCACGTGGATACTGACCACTTCATATGTGGCACGTATGACCGAGGAACTGGTTTTCTTGTTTAATTTTAATGAATTTAAATGTAAAAGATTTCCCATTTCGGACAGCTCAGGAGGTTGGGAGCTGGAAGGAGCCGGCTATGTCTGCAGGGCTAGTAGGAGGGGGGCGGGCTAAGGACAGAGGGTGATATCCCTGTTGTCACAGGTTCTGCCCTAAATGTCGAAATGACGCCAGCGAGGTGGTGTTGGCAGGGGAGAAGCTGAAAGAGAGTAAGAAGAAGTCGAAAATGGCATCGGCCACATCATCCTCGCAGCGGGACTGGGGCAAGGTGAGGTGGCCCCGTTGCTCTGTACTCCCCCGGAAGCTCTGTCCGCCCTCCTGTGCTTGCTCACACTCATCTCTTCCACTGGACAGGGCATGGCATGTGTGGGGCGCACCAAGGAGTGCACCATCGTTCCATCCAACCACTACGGACCCATCCCAGGGATCCCTGTGGGCACCATGTGGAAGTTCAGAGTCCAGGTACGTGTAAACATCTGGAGTTCAGCCTCAGGCACTGATCTCCCAGAAGCCCCTTCGCTGGAGAGGGCCACCCTTCGAGCAGGTGGCATGGCTGGAATTAAAGCCAGCTCCTCCTATGCTGTGGCCCAGATCAGCGTTCTCTCACAGGCGTGTTACACTCAGAGCGAAAGTCAGGCCTCTGGCTCTGCAGCAGCAGCAGGCAGTCCAGAAGGTGCCATTTGCTTCTTGGTGGTTTTCACAGGTCAGTGAGTCAGGAGTCCATCGCCCGCACGTGGCGGGCATCCATGGCCGGAGCAATGATGGGGCGTACTCCCTGATCCTGTCGGGGGGGTATGAGGACGATGTGGTGAGTAGGGGTTGTTTTATTTATTTTTTAAATGTAAAATACACATAATATAAGATGAGCCATATTAACAATTTTTAACTATACATCTCAATGGAATTTAAATACATTAACATTGTTGTGTAACCATCACCAGCATTTATTTCTAGAACTTTCTCATCTTTCCAAACTGAAACTCTGTCCCCATTAAATGATAACTTCTAATCCCTCTCTTCCAGCCCCGGGATCCTACCATTTACTTTGTCTCTATGAATCCTGTAGGGACCTCCTCTGAGTGGAATCACACTAGAAGTTCTTTTGTGACTGGGTTATTTCACTGAGCATAATGTCCTCAAGGTTCATGCATGTGGAGCATATTGCAGAATTTCCTTCCTTTTTAAAGGCTGAATAATATTTCATTGTCTGAACCGACTATATTGTGTGTATCCATCAATGGATACTTGGATTGCTTTCACCTCTTGGACATTGTGGATAAAATGCTGCTGTGAATATGAGTGCACAGATATCTCTGAAATGCCCTTCTTTCAGTTCTTTTGGGTAGAGACAGACCCAGAAATGGCATTGCTTGGTCACATTTCACTTTTTGAGGGACCTCCATAGCATTTTCCACAGCAGCTGCCCCATTTTCCATTCCCACCGGCAGTGCACAGGATTCCCAATTTCTCCACATCCTCCTCCTCATCACTGGTTATTTTCTGTTTCTTTGACAGTTGACATTCTAGGGGTGTTGTGAGTTTCCTTTTAGTGGAGTCTTTGCTCTGTGTGGAGGGTTCAGCTTGTCCTTCCCTGTTGCAGGACAATGGGGAGTTTTTCACGTATACTGGTAGCGGTGGTCGAGATCTTTCCGGCAACAAGCGGACTGCAGAACAGTCCTGTGATCAGAAACTCACCAACACCAACAGGTTTGCAGAAACAAGATTTTCTTATTTTTTTTTACTAATTCACTTCTGCTGCATCCTCTAGCTGCTACATCTTTCTAACTCTGTCTGCTAAAGACTTGAGTCATTCAGTGCATTAGAGCAAGCATGTCAAACTCGAGGCCCATGGGTCACAATGAATATTTCTGCGGCCCAGCCAATATAATGGAATGTAAGAAACATTTTAATAAGAATTACATAACTTAATTTTTATAATAATCTGTTATACATAATTATTAGTAATGAACTACATCTTCACTAATGACTGATCACTATAATCGTGTTGCATTTATTTTCCTTAAGCGTCTTACACGCAAGCGCAGCATTTCTCTCCACTAATACTAGAGCGAATATTTTAGCAGCCAATTGCCACGTCATTAGTCTTGGACTGACTTGTTTGGTGTGCGCAACAGGAAATATTTCGCTTTGGGAGAACAAGAAAAATATGTTTGTTTGCGTTACGCTTATTAATTTGTGCAATTATTCAGTGTCTGGTAAGTTAATGTTCAAGAAAAATTAATTTTTATTAAAATGTTCTATTTTATGTTAACGATTACTCATTTATTTCAGCCCTTTGTATTCAGCATGTCTCTATTGAAATAAACCTACATTTCTATGGAATTTGAAGCTTTTGTATTTTTTTTTTTTTTTTGTGGCCCACATAAACTTATTTGGCCCATGTTAGCCTTTGAGTTTGACATGCTTGCATTAGAGTGAATTTTTCCCTGAAGAGGCCAGATAATCTTTTGGCTTTTTGAACTGTATGGTCTCTGTTGCAGCCAGTCACCTCTGCCATAGCACAAAAGCAGCACCAATCAACTTATATAAATAAACATGTATGGCTGTGGTCCAATAAAACTTGATCTGAAAAGCCAATCAGTGGGTGAAGTTTTCTGACCCCTCAATTGTAGGATAGGGAAAGGTATTTTGTTGTTGTTAATCTTCCCAGAATATTTTTCCTTTTTTTTTTTTGAGAGAGAGAGTGAAAGAGGGGGAAGGGAAGAGAGCGGAAGAGAGAGAGAGAAACATCTGATGTGACAGTCACGTCAATGTTTGCCTCTTGTATGGGAACAAGCCTGCAACTGAGGTATGTGCCCTGACCTGAATCAAATCTGGGATCCTTCAGTCTGAGGGCTGTGCTCTATCCACTGAGCAAAACTGGCCAGGGCGGGAAAGTCTTTGTAAGCATAAAAAGTATCATAAAGCCTTGCCCTGGCCGGTTTGATTCAGGTCAGAGCACATTATCTGGATTGCAGGCCCCATCCCAATTAAGGGACATGTAGGAGGCAGCTGATGAATGTTTCTCACATCGATGATTTTTTCCTCCTTTCTCTCTCAAATAAATAAAAAAATATTTTTTTTAAAAAAGTATTATAGCTGAGTCTGGTTTGGCTCAGTGGATAGAGCGTTGGTTTGAGGACTGAAGGGTCCCAGGTTTGATTCTGGTCAAGGGCATGTACATTGGTTGCGAGCACAACCCCAGTGGGGGGTGTGCAGGAAGCAGCAGGTCGATGTTTTTCTCTCGATGTTTCTGGCTCTCTGTCCCTCTCCCTTCCTCTCTGTAAAAAATCAATAAAATATATATTTAAATAAAGTATTATAAAGCCCAAAGGAAAAGATAGATTTGGTGATGTAAATATTAGAAATTGCGTTCATAAACCCATAAGTAAAATGAAGAGGCAGATGACTCTTTGTGGGGAAATCTGCAACAAAAATGACACATGATTGTTATGCAAAGAGCTGTTGCAAATCAACAAGAAAAACTAATTTTAAAAAAGGCCATGCAGATCATTCACAAAAGAAATGGCAATCTCTAATGACCATGAAAAATTGTTCAAGTTTAGTAATCAAAGAAATACAAATTGAAGTGATGGTGAAATACTATTTATTTCCCCTGTGAAATGCCAAGGCATAGACTGGTGTTCCCCCTTTGGGAGAAATACAACATTTTTCTGGAAAGGTGTTGAAAATGATCTTATGACACCAGTTCTACTTCGAAAGTGTATGATGAGACAAGGGGAGGGGAAAATCTTGTAAGTAGTAATATTTATCTTATCAATATGTAGAATATCAAAGTATTAGTACCTGTATTCTTTTTTTTTTTTTTAAAGGTAAGGATTCGTTGTACATTTTAGTGGAATATTTTAATTTCAGTAACTGTTAAAAATCATGTTTTCAGAAAAGATTTAATATGAGGAACTGCCTGTAAGCTAACATTAAGTGATGCTGCACACAAATTAAGAAACTTGTTTAAAAATTACTGTTTGCACCCAGAAAACAATTACAGAGTTGCAGCTTTTTCTTTCACACCCAATAAGGAGGTCAGAGTGCTGAGCCTGGCATTTGGTTGGCTTGCCCCGGCCCCTGTGCCCTTGGGCGAAACAGACCTGCCTGGCCAGCCCTTGTTTGCTGTCTCCTCTTTTTCTTTAATTTTTTAATTTTTTTTAAATTTTAAAAAAAAATATATTTTATTGATTTTGTACAGAGAGGAAGGGAGAGAGATAGAGAGTTAGAAACATCTATGGGAGAGAGTCATCGATCAGCTGCCTCTTGCACACCCCTCTGCTGGGGATATGCCCGCAACCAAGGTACATGCCCTTGACCGGAATCGAACCCGGGACCCTTCAGTCCCCAAGCCGATGCTCTATCCATTGAGCCAAACGGGTTTTGGCTTTCTTTAATTTTTTAAAATAAATTTTATTGATTTTACACAGAGAGGAAGGGAGAGGGAGAGAGAGTCAAACATCAATGAGAGAGAAACATCGATCACCTGCCTCCTGCACACCTCCCACCGGGGATGTGCGCACAACCCCTTGACCGGAGTTGAATCTGGGACCCTCCAATCTACAGGCTGATGCTCTATCCACTGAGCCAAACTGGTTAGGTGATCCTCTTTTTTTTTTTTTTTTTTTTTTTTTTTTAAATATTTTATTGATTTTATACAGAGAGGAAGGGAGAGAGATAGAGAGTTAGAAACATCGATGAGAGAGTCATCGATCAGCTGCCTCTTGCACACCCCCTACTGGGGATATGCCCGCAACCAAGGTACATGCCCTTGACCGGAATCGAACCCGGGACCCTTCAGTCCCCAAGCCGACGCTCTATCCATTGAGCCAAACCAGTCCCGGCAGATCCTCTTTTTCTTGATGTCCTCTCCACATGCTATAGTAGCTCGTGGCTCCAGTAATGAAATACCACGAATTGGGCAGTTTAAAACAACAGAAATTCTCACATATTTCTGGAAGCCCAAAGTCAAAATCAAGGTGTTACAGGGCCATGCTCTCCCTGAAATTTCTGTGGGAGGGTCCTTCTTGCCTCTTCAGCTGGTGGTTACCAGCAATCCTTGGTCTCTTTTCTTGTGGCGGCATCACTCCAGCCTCCGTCTTTACATGGTATCTTCTGTGTGTCTGTGTCTCAATTTCCTTTTCTTCTAGGGACACTAGTTATTGGATTTAGGGTTCCCCTCATCCATTCTGACCTCTGAACTTGACTTTATCTGTAAGCACCCTTTTTCCAAAGAAGGTCACATTCATAGGTTCCATGGGTTAGGATGCCCTTTCTTGTGGGGGGATACAATCTATACTGTAACATGTGACACCCCCCCTCCCTTCGCAGGGCACTGGCTCTCAACTGCAATGCCCCCATCAATGAACGCAAGGGGGCCGAGGCCAAGGACTGGCGCTCAGGGAAGCCGGTCCGGGTGGTGCGCAACACCAAGGGCCGCAAGCACAGCAAATACGCCCCCACTGAGGGCAACCGGTACGACGGCATCTACAAGGTGAGAGGTCCTCCCTGCCCCCACTGGCACCACCTCCAGTCCCAGATGACACTGACGTAGGCTCTCACTCCCCACAGGTTGTGAAGTACTGGCCTGAGAAGGGGAAATCCGGCTTCCTGGTATGGCGATACCTTCTGCGGAGGGACGACGATGAGCCTGGCCCCTGGACGAAGAAAGGGATGAACCGGATCAAACAGCTGGGACTGACCATGCAGGTGCGTGCAGGCCGTGCTCACCTGGCCCCCAGGCCTGCTTGGAGCATCATCTTCCTGGCCAGTCACTTGGGATCATGGCAGGAGAACTGGGCTGTGAGTGCTCAGCTAGCCAGAGCCTGCCTTCTTGGCCTGGAAGCTCTTGGGTTTCTCTTTCATCCTAAATGATGTCTAGGAGCTGAGCTGGCCACACCTTGCTGCTGTCTACCACATTTCAATTCCGCAGCCAGTGGAGTTTGGGGATGGGCAGATTGTGTTCGTAGTTTTAGAGTTGAGATCCAGACTTCTTACCTGTGTTAGTAGATGGGTTTATCTGAAAAACAATAACAATAACAACACACACACAGTGGAGAAGTCAGTTCTAAAGATAAGGAGGATTGGTCCCTCCCTGCCATCGCCTGTCTTTTTACAGAAATGGAATCTTCTATTTTCCAAGAATTCACCCTGTGTTGGAATAGGGCTTTTGGCACTATAATTGTGGTGTTTTCTGTTTATTATTGTGAGGTACTCTAACAGCTGATAACTGTTTTGGGACTATTTAAGGAGTCTTAATTGTCACTGAGAATCTGATAGCGCCTACCCTCTGGGGGGCGTCACAAGAGTTGTCTTTTGAACATAACATGTGTACGTGGGTAATTTCAGAAGCTAGGAACTGGGGAGAAAAATAGCTGGTGGGACGGGACCATCAGCTTCTGATGGGAGTAGGGTTTCCATTGCAACTTAGTGTTTCGTTTAACAAAGGTTGGAAGTTTCTGGATGTAATATTTCCGAATCAGACGTGACTCTAGGCGACTTAGATCTAGGGTTATAACAAAGTAATGCTTGTGCGGACCTGGAGCCCAAGGGCCATCGGAATGAGATTGGATGGCAGGAAGGTCCCCAGGGGACAGTTTTTAGCAAAAAAGTTTTCTGAGGTGCAATCACAGCAGAGCTGGAAATATATTTACCACCCGACCTCTTTGGGAAAGTTTGCCTACCCCTTAAAGGAAATAATAAAGATAATAAAATGATCATGTTGCTGGATCTGATCCTAAGCATTTTACCTACACTGTCTCATTTAATGTGACACCCTGCCAGGGCAGGTTGGCTCTGCATTCTTTGTAAGTGCGGTGATGAGATTGCTGCTCCAGGCTCTTGAGTTGAGTGGAGGCCTCAGATCTGAGGCCGTAAAAGTAAGAGTTAAGCTTTTAAGGCTGGTATGGGGCCAGGGGAGGGAGTGACTTTGAGGTGAGGGGAGATGGGAGATGGCAGGAAGTGTGAAGCCAGAGTGACAGTTGTCAAAGTGGGGCAGTCGCCGGTCTCCAACCCCACAGGGAGTCTGGATCACCCAGGTCCACCGCTCCAGCCTGTTCATCAGCAGTTGCCTTTGCCCTTTCGCAGTATCCAGAAGGCTACATTGAGGCCCTGGCCAAGAAGGAGAAGGAGAAGGAGAAGGAGAAAGAGAACAGAAAGAAGCCAACTGAAGAGGAAGAGGAGAAAGATGAAGAGGAGGGAGAGGAGGATCTCACGATCAGGAAGGGCAAACGGAAGAGTAAGTCAGAAGGCAGGTCTTTCTCCATGGGCAGCCTGTCCACGTGCTCTTGGGCTCGCCTGCCCTTACCACTTTGCTCTGTCTCAGGTTCCTGCTCCCCGGGAGTTACACCCAAGAAAGCCAGGGTGGAGCCTTACAGCCTCACAGCCCAGCAGAAAAACCTTATCAAGCAGGACCTGAGCAACTCTAAGCAGTGGACCGAGATCCTCAAGTCACTCAAGGATGGGCCGGTGAGCACCCATATGGCCTGAGTGGCCTTCCTGAACCCTTAGCTCTCACCCCCACCTCCTTTCCCCCACCATTTTTATTTTTTATTTTATTATTATAACAAAATAGAGATAACATAAAGTGTATCATCTTAACCATTTTTCAGTGTACAGCTCAGTGGCATTAAAAGATATTCACATCATCATGCATTCACCCCATCTGCATTCATCTCCAGAAATTTCTCATCTTCCCAAACTGAAATTCAGTTCCCGTTATACACTAACTGCCCATGACCTCCCCTAGCCCGTGGCATCCACCATCTATCTCCTGTCTGACTGACTCCTCCAGGGACCTCCTGAAAGGGGAATTCCAGTATTTGTTCTTTAGTGCCCAGCTTATTTCACTAAGCATAATGTCCTCAGATTCATCCACATTGCGGCAGGTGTCAGAATGGCCTTTTTAAGGCTGAATCATACTCCACTGTCTGGAAAAACGACATTCTCTTTATCTGTCGTTTGTCAGTGGACAGCGGGTTGTTTCCATTTGTTGGCCAGCATGAATGTACATGGGTGTGCAGCCATCTCTGTGAGTCCTGGCTTCCAATTTACCATGGGGTTTTGTCCCAATAAATATATTGTAAATCATATGCATTTGATGCATCTAACCCACTGAATATCACAGTTCAGTCCACTGTGAATGTGCTCAGGCACGTACATTAACTCCACTTGGGCAACAGCCTCTCTCTGCCACTGCTCAGCATCACAGGTCAGTATCAGACTACATATCACTAGCCCAGGACAGGATAAAAATTAAAAATTGAAATGTTTTTTACTAAATGGGTATCACTTACACACTTTTGCAAAGTTGAAAAATTGTAAGTTGAACCATCATAAGTTGGACTGTTTGTACCCAGAAGTGGGATTGCTGGGTCCTATGGCAGTTCTAGTTATAAATTTTTTGAGGAAACTCCATACTGTTTTCACAGTGGCTATATCAGTTTGCATTTTTACCAACAATGCACGAGGATTCGCTTTTCTCTAAATTCTCACTAACCCTTGTTGTTTGTGGTTATATTGATGATAGACATTCTCACAGGTGTGAAATGGTTAATTTGCATTTCTGGTAATGAGTGATATTGAGTATTTTTTTCCCACATGTCTATTGGCCTTCTGTAGTCCTCTTTTTTATTTATTTATTTACTTATTTATTTTAAATCCATCTTTATTGTTCATATTATTACACAGGTTCCTCGTTTCTTCCCCCCTCCACCAGGTTCCCACCCCACCCTCTGCCCCCTCATCCTCATCCATTGGTGCACAGTTTATGTTCAGTCTCTTCCTCCCTCCCTTTCCCCGATAGTAAATCCCTTTTCAGATAGCAAATCTGTTACTTAGCATTTTCTCATATCAATAATACCTCCACATGCCCAATGGTACACTTCACACAAAAGACATTTCCAAATAGGACAACCAGCCTCATCCAGGCCCCACCCAAGGCACTCACAGATCAACACCCCAGCACTATACTAACTCAACACATCCAGATCTAAGCCTTCATCACTTGATTCAGCAGACCCTCAAGTTCCCGCAAAAGTTTCCAGCCATGTCTGAGAGGCAGCCGTGGGGCAGGGGCAGGTGAGGAGCGAGCTGTTTTGGGCCAGGCTGCTCCGGGCCTGGCCTCTGTTGCTCTGGTTCGTTCCACAACCAGCTGCTCCTTGTCTGGTCACTGCCGCTCCCGACCCAGTTGCTCTGGACTTGGCTGTTGCTGCTACAGGCCTGGCCACACCCGACTCGGCTGCTCTGGGCCCAATTGCTCCGGGCCTGGCCGCTCCTGTAGTCCTCTTTAGAGAAATGTCTACTTAGGTTCTCTGTTCATTTTTAAACCAGATTATTTGTCTTTTGGTGTTAAATTGTCCCGAGTTCTTTATATATATGTTTTGGATATTAAACCCTTATCATGTTTCATTAGTGAATATCTTCTTACATTCAGTAGGTGATCTTTTTGTGGGTTTCCCCTCCCCTTTGTTATGCAAAAACCTTTTTAAAATGTATTTTTATTGACTTCAGAAAGGAAGGGGGAGAGAGATAGAAATATCAATGATGAGAGGGAATCACTTATCAGCTGCCTCCCGCACATCCCCCAGGCATATGCCCTGACCAGGAATTGAACCTGTGACCTCTTGGTTCCTGGGTTGATGTTCAACCACTGAGCCACACTGGCTGGGCCAAAACCTTTTTTAGTTTAATGTAGTCTCATCCTCAGGGCCCTCAGATTAATTCTATTTGCAGTTTCTTTTGCCGTGGAAGGGAACGTATACACTGATCCTGGAGTTCAGATGTGGTATTTTAGGGGCCATGATTTAGCCAGGCACACGTCCTTCAGGTCACCTTTTCTATAGAGTGTTCTCTGACCACCTGCCCTTTGGGTTGGCCCCTCCCAGGGCTCCCTGTTATCTTTCCTAGCACTGTTGTGACATTTCTGTCTTTCCCTGTTTTATCTTTGCCTCCTTCCCACCCCCAATAGGGCTCCAAGCTCCAGGAAGGCATAGGGTTCTTCTGTTTAATCCCCTGCTGGGCCCCGTGCCCGGGCAGCACGTCGAAGGCACTCAGCCTTATTTACAGAGTGAGCTAGATTCATGCCCTCAGATTAAGGCTGCTCTTCACCCCAACCCAGGGCGTCCTGCTCAGCACTATGGAGGCTGTGACCCTGGCAGGCTGTGCCCAACTCCAGGTCCTGGGCAGGGCCTGCACCTGTTGGGCCTCTGCTTTCTCATCCTAACGGGGATCACAACCACTCTTGTCTCCTGGGGTACGGGTAGGAGGAGAGTTAAATTAGGGAACCTGGGCCAGACTCCAATAGGGAGCCCCGTTTTCTAAGGGTTCCATCAGCATGGTGGTTCATTTCGGTGTAAGGTTCTGCTGGTCTCATGCATCCTCTTTTCTGGTTCCAGAAATTCCTGAATAAAGTAGAAGAAACATTCCAGTGTATTTGCTGCCAGGAACTGGTATACTCCCCAGTCAGCACCGGGTGCCAACACAACGTGTGCAAGGTGAGAGGCGTGGGCATGGGAGCTGGGCTGCCACACACCCAGCACATAGAATGGGCTTGTTGGCTTGGCTTCTGCACACTCTTGGCTCTCTTTGCAGGGCCTCAGTGTCTTGTTCTCCAAATAGCCTTGGTTATAGTTGTCTTCCGGCCTTCATCAAGGGATCCCATCGTCCTACTTCCCACTTTCCTCCCCTGGTGCTGTGGAATCAAGTGCCAAATCCTTGCCGCAGTCGCTGAGCCCACCTGGGCTGCCTGGCACTCCAGTGTTACCTCGCCTCATGTTTCGCTCCGCTGTGTGTTGGCTGGTTCTCTCCTCCCGGGGGAACACTCTCCCCAGCCTCTCGTGTACCTGGGGTCCAGGGTGGGAGAGCATAGTCGGCAGTCCTGGCCGGAGGTCTTGTCACAGTAAATGTCTGTAAGCAGGCGGTAGAGTTGCGCTGGTGTGCTCAGTGGTTGAGCGTCGACCTAAGTATCAAGAGGTCCCTGGTTCAATTCCTGGTCAGGGCGCATGGCTGGGTTTCAGGCTCAATCCCAGTAAGGGGTGTGCAGGAGATAGCTGATTCATGTTGAGGCATTGGTTTTTTCTCTCCCTCCCACTCTCTCTAAAATCAGTAAAAACATTTTTTTAAATAGAGCTAGCTATAGAGGCATGAGGTGCTTGTCTCCTAGAGAAGGCAGAAGGAAGGCTTCCTGGAGGAGGGGGCCTTAGCTTGTTACCTGAAGAGGGCCTCTGGGAAGCATTCCAGACAGGCAGGAAGGCGTGTGCAGAAGTTTGGACAGGCAGGCGTGCCTGAACAGCTGGAGCCTGGAGGGGAGTAGGGCTGGGAGGTGGGCCATAGGCTCTGCCTGGCGGTCAGTTTCAGGAAACAATATGATTGAAAGAGAGATGGGGAGCTGAGATCATATTAGACCAGGGCCTCCCCTCCCCCTTGCACTGTGGACATTGGGGCCAGAACATTCTCTTGGGGGAGGGGGTGTATTTTGGGCACTGGGGAAGAGAGGGGGGTTGAACAGCTTCCCTAACCCCATCCACTTGCTTCTCCAGTCATGACAACCACAGATATCCGCAGACATGGCCCAGTGTCTCCTGGGGGCAGAATTGTCCAGGTGGGAAGCACTAGCCTGTGTAACTAGTTTCTTCGCAGTGTTAGAAGTGACTGTCCCCTCCCCCTGGTCACCCTTGGTCTCTGAGCTTCTGGCTCTTTTGTTCTCTGATCTGGCCCCCTTCCCTGCCTTGAGGCTGTCTCAGTCCCTCAGCTGTCACCTCGGGGAGGGGCTCAGAGAACATGAAGCAGCGAGGTCATTTGGTGTCAGAGCCAGGCCTCCACTTTTCTGCTCTTGGCTCTGCCACCATGTTTCTGATGGTGTTCCTTCAACTCTGTGACTTGGAGAAGTGGCTTAGGATTGGGGGTGAGATAAGGGCTTTGGAGCCAGCAGCCAGGGTCTGCCCCTCCCCTCAGGCCTGCCCCTCCCATCCTTGAAAAGCCACCCAACTCTCCAAGCCTTGGTGGCCCCTCAGTGAAAAGAGATGTAGCAGTGCCTTTCTGGCCTGCTTCTAGCTGTAGGTGACACGTGCTAAAGTGCTTTAGGCAAGCAGGCAGAGTGGGCCACGTGATGCAGGGGGAGCACCGTAGAAATGGACTGATTGATGGGGTTTCAGGGACCAAGCGTCTCAAAGGTCAGTCATATGTGTCATTAAAGTGTCAAGGCTGCCCTGGCCATTGTGGCTCGGTTGAGTGTTGTCCCATGCACCAACCAAAAGGTCACCAGTTCGATTCCTGGTCAAGGCACATGCCTGGATTGTGGGCTGGATCCGTAGTGGGATCGTGGAGGAGGCAGCAGATTGATGTTTCTCACGTTAATGTTTTTCTTCCTCTCCTTTCCTCTCTCTCCAAAAACAACAAAGTGCCAAGGCTGTGAAGGAAGAGGGTACCGACATTTACATGTCTGCCCCAACTGTCAGTGCAAACCGCGGCTCGCGAGCCACATGTGGCTCTTGAGCCGAAGTTTGCTGACCACCGTCCCAGAACATCAGCATGTGAGGGTTATAGGAAAATCATCCTCCACCTTGATGTCCCAGCACCTATTTTTAATTTTATTTTATTAAATCATTGTATCATAGTAAAATACACATAACATAAAATTTATCATCCTAACCATTTTTTCTAAAATCCTCACCCGAGGATATTTTCCCATTGATTTTAGAGAGAGTGGAAGGAGAGAAAAAGACAGAGAAATATCGATGTGAAGAAACACATCGATTGGTTGCCTTTTGCATGCACCCCAATCAGGGCCGGGGCTGGGGAGGAGCCTGCAACCAAGGTACATGGAATCAAACCCGGGATCCTTCAGTCCACAGGCTAACGCTCTATCCACTAAGTCAAACCAGCTAGGGCATCCTAACCATTTTGTGTATAGTCCAGTAGTAGTAAGTACATTCATATTGTTGTGGAACTATCTCCACCACCCATTTCTAGAACTTTTCCATCTTTACAAACTGAAACTGTCCCTATGAAACACTAACTCTCCATCCTCCTACACCAGCACCTGGGTTCCCACCATCTACTTTCTTTGTTTTATTTTTGTAATTTTTGTTGAAAATATTACATATGTCCTCCTTTTCCCCCCATTCACCCCCTCCAGCCTGCCCTTGCCTCCCATCCCAAGTCTTTACCACTTTATTGTCTGTGGCCATGAGCCATGCATGTATGCATACAGGTCTTTGGTTGATTACCTCCCCTCCCACTCCCCCACCCTCCCCTGCCTTCCCTCTGAGTTTCCACGCTCTGTTCCATGGCTCAGGATCCACTCCATTCTCAGTTTATTTATTTTTTTAGATTCCACATATGAGTGCGATCATATGATACTTGTCTTTCTCTGACGGGCTTATTTCACTTAGCATGATACTCTCCAGGTCCCGCTATCTGTCTCAAAGGGAAAAAGATTCTTCTTTTTTACCGCTGCATAGTATGCCATGGTGTAAAGGTACCACTGTTTTTTTATCCACTCATCTACTGACCACCATCTATTTTCTCTCCCTGTGGATCTGACTCTTTTAGGAACCTCCTATGACTGAACCTCCTGCAATGTGTGTCCTTTTGTGTCTGGCTTCTCTCACTTGTCCTCAAGATTTATCCACACTGTAATGAGTGTCAGAATTCCTTTTTAAGGCCAAATACTAGTCCTTTGTCTGGATGGATCACACTCTCGGTATCGTTCATCTGTTGATGGACACTTGAGTTGTTTCCACCTTTTGGGTGCTATGAATCATGCAGTGATCCAGAACCTGGTTTTTGAACATCGTCCCAAATCTTAGTTGTTTTGAGCAGAAACAGTTACCTTTTGTCCCCAGAATCAAGGCTACAAACTTTTTATTGAAAAAGGAATTTAGAAATTGAAAGAATGCCAAACAAAAGCCTCAGCATACATTCGTGGTGGAATGTGCCATGGCGTCAGCAGGCTTTCTATCATGTTCACATTTACCCAGTTGCCTGATGTCATCCTTTAGGTGTGCACACCTATGCAGGTGTCTGCATACTTGTGTGCATTGTCTCTGCCCAGGTGGGTGGTGTCTTCCCTGTTTCTCTGATTGGGAAGTTGTCTCCACCTGTCTCCACCTGGCTTAGTTTGAGCCCAGAAGTTTGATTCAGTGCCAGAATTCCTTCCTTTCTTCTTTTATTTGCATTGATGCATATTTATCACCTATGTGTTTTGACCTTTGCTTGGTGCTGGGAAAGTCAATAAGATACAGCTCCATATCACAGGGAGCATCTGGCCTGTTAGAGACAAACGTTAGTAAATAACACAATGCCAGAGGGCAGAAAAGGTTCTGTTTTAAGGCAGATTGGGGAGATGATAGGACTGGCTGGGGTGGGGCTGCTTACGATGATGCTCAAGGGCTGCCAGGGAAGGGTCCTCTGAGCAGGTGACTGGAGCCAAGGCATGAGTGACGGGAGGGCCAGAGGACAGACCTGCTAGGTTGTATAATCTGTAAGGGCCAAGGCCTGGCGGCCAGGATAAATTTAAGAGTCTTTGAGGTGTCCTTGGGAGGTCAGGCTGGCAATGGGCAGTGAGTGGTAGAAAGTGAGACTGAGGACAGGAGGGGGCCTCTGGACCCCATGAGAAGTCAGTAATTGCTTTCAACTCTGTCGGGGGGACAGTGGGTGGACAGAGTGGCTCTGCTGACGTGGACGGAACAACTCACCTTCCTGCTCTCTCGTATAGGACTGCCTGGATAGATCCTTCAAAGCACAGGTGTTCACCTGTCCTGCCTGCCGCAAGGAACTGGGCCGAAACTACTCCATGAAAGTGAACCATTCGCTGCAGGAAATCCTCACTCAGCTCTTCCCCGGTTATGGCCGTGGACGGTGATCCACAAGCACTTCTCGCCGGGCGTTTTTAAAAAACGCACCAGAGGCGTCCTCGGCCCCTCTTGTTTTTAGTGGGCTTAACTTAAGTATGTAGTTTTTCCTCTGCTTCCTAAAAAGCCTTGTCTTCCTGGTTTTGTTTTTTAAATCTATAAATTTATAGGAATTTGTATTATGGCTCAAAGAAAGAAAGAAAGAAAGAAGGAAAGTTAGACTGTTCGGTGTTTTATCTTGTTTTTTAAAAAAGTATAAAGCCTGCAGTGTACGAGCAAAAACACATGTTTTTTCTGAAGATGAAATTAGAAATTACTTGGCCTGAAGGTCGCTATGTTGCCAACATCAAGTTCTCAGAGACCCTGCAGGAAGGCATTGACTGCCTAGAACAATCTTTTCCTGGTGTGTGGGCTTGGCCCCAAAGCTGAACGTGGGCACACCTCCTGACAGCATTTCTTCGCCAGAACTCAGCAGGGTGGTACTTGGTGGTGGCCCTGGGTGTGGCATGGCCCAGGAATCATCCCTCAGGACCTGTTGAAAGGGAAAAAGGAAAAGATCCCATTCAGCCCAGTTTAAACTCTGGCCTCAAAGCCATCTGCCACCAGCCGGCTCCCGTGGTTAAGACCCACAAGCAGAGACCTGTGTCCCTTGAGCAGAGTTGAGGCCACACAGAAGCTACCTCCGCTCGACTCTCCTGTATGTGGAGCTGGGTGCGCAGCCAAACGCTGTCCAATCTGGAACGCCGGAGAAGTAGATGCACTAAGCCATGTTCAAGTGCCTTTGGTTCTTTCTTTCTAAACACGGGGCTCTTTTTTTTAGCACTGAATTATTGAAAATGCCAACCAGATTCTCAGATAGCCCAACCAGTTCTTTACAAATCTGGGTGAGTGTTTGGGGATAGGTTGAGTTTTGTTCTTCCTTTACATTGAATTTTCAACTCACCAATTGAGAATTATAAGAGGGAATTTGTCTTTAAAATAAATACTTTTTCTAAATGAAATTTTTTGTAGTTACTGTATATGTACCAATAAATCTATAACTTAGGGTTTTATTTTTTTATTTTTTTGGAATTATTTGTTAATTTTTCTACAAACTTTACCAAAATTTGCAGCTCATACCTCAACAGAACAGGGATATTTTAAATCACATAACTACAGACAAACTGGAACAATATTGTTTGAAAATTTTCTCTTTATTAGGTGGTTAATGTATTAGGAAGAAATGACTAAATCCTGTGTAGGCATTTTCTAAAAAGTTCAATATTCTTTGTCCAGATTTTAGATTTTCAGAATAAATGTTTTTTACTGATGCATTTGGTTGTCTTCTGTTTGCAAATTGCTCACCGGGTGCTTCTGTTCCTATTATTTTATTTTCACAAAACCCCCAGGAGACAGACTAGGCAGAGTAGAATCGCCCTCACTTGGCAGATGAGAAAACCGAGACCCAGAAAATCAAAGTGATGGGCAGTGGTTCTAACTCCTGCCCAGGAGGGGTTTAGCTTTGACCTTTATGGGGTCAGCAAACTACAGCTTGGAATAGAAGTGGTTACTTATTCTCACAAATGTGCTTCTGTCTCCATTTACATTTGAAGAACCTAGGCTGCAGTGGTGTCTGGGAGTCTGCAGGCCTCAGGAAATTTGGGTATACCGGGTGTGTGGGGACTGATGACCTGAAATGCTAATTCCTACAGAATTCAGGACAAGGATGAGGGAAGGTACTAGTGCTGAATTCTGAAGAGGCTTTTATTTATATTGACCTATTACCCGGCGCCTCTTATTGACAGCGAGGTAATGACATGGGCAGATTTAATAAGAAAGTACTGCCTCTTTGGTCCTTAAAAATGTGTCATGAGTATCCTTGAAAACATACTAAGTGCAAGAAGGCAGTCACGGTGGCTGTATATGATTTCACATGAAATCTCCAATACAGGAATCCATAGAGACAGGTTAGAGAGGGCCTGATACGGAACGGAACACACTGTAGTGGGTTCATTGTCAAGACTGGAATTTTGGGGTGATTTCTCATTTTCAAAGTTAACAAATATAACAAAAAGTGTATTTGTGGAACCACTGCAGAAATAATCACAATATTGGATATATTGCTTTCCTGGTAGATTTATAAAAATTCAAAAAATGGCTTTATTGAAATATAGTTTATGCTGCCATAAAGTTCACCTATATAAAGTGTACAGTTCATTGGTTTTTTAGCATGTTTATGACCTTGTGTGACCATCACCAGTTTTTAGTTCCAGAAGGTTCCCATAACCCCAAAAGCAACTTCACACAGTCTTCCAGCCCCACAACCACAAATCCGCTCTCTGGATTTGTCTGTTTTGAACACTTCAGATGAATGGAATAATGAAATGCTTGTGTGGTCTCCTGTTTCCAAGGTTCATCTATATAGCGAGGGTCAGTGCTTCATTTCTTTTCGTGGCTAATATTCCACTGTGCAGGTGGGCCACATATTTTAATCCGGTTGACTTTTTAATGTAAAATTTCCTTTTCTTCCTTCACCCCAGATTACAAAATTCATACACAATCCCTTTAGAACAACTTGGAAACTGACTACATGAAGAAAAAGTCAGAGTACATAATCTGCCACCCAGTGGGTTACAGTTTTCAGGCTTTGTACATGTATGTATGTTAGTATTGTAATATTCAACCTCAGAACAACCCCTGATACAGTTTTGATGCGGCTGCTTTGTAGGTGAGGCATATGTATATTTATATATTTGTTTTATATGTAAATTTAAAGAACAAAATTGGAACAGTGCCATATATTCTGCCCATTTAAAAAAAAATTTTTTTTTGTGTGTGTGTAATATATTTTTATTGCTTTAAGAGAGAAAGGGAGCCGAAACCGGTTTGGCTCAGTGGATAGAGCATCGGCCTGTGGACTGAAAGGTCCCAGGTTTGATTCCAGTCAAAGGCATGTGCCTTGGATGTGGGCACGTCCCCAGTGCGGGGTGTGCAGGAGGCAGCTGGTTGATGTTTCTCTCTCATCGATGTTTCTAGCTCTCTATCCCTCTCTCTTCCTCTCTGTAAAAAAATCAATAAAATATATATAAAAAATAAAAATAAAACATGTATTTCTTAAAAAAAGAAAAAAAGAAAAAAAAGAAAGGGAGAGAAACCAAAGATGAATCATTTATCAGTTGCCTCCTGCACGCCCCCTACTGGGAATGGAGCCCAAAACCTGGGCATGTGCCCTTGACCGGAATTGCACTCTATAGGCAGCAGACGGTGCTCTATACACTGAGCCAAACCAGCTAGGGTCCCAGTTTTCTATTGATTTCAGTTCATTTATCAAGTATCCACTTTGTCTAACACCTTAGTAAACAAGCATGTGTGCCATGGTCTGGTATTTGCATATTTGTATCTGTGCTCATAAATGTGAAACATGCCACGTGTCTAGTGACATATGCTTCAAGGTTTGGAATGCTAGAATTCCTCCCCAAATCTTTGTTCTTTAAACATAGGAGGACGTATCTTTCCATCCACCTCCATTTTTTATGTGTCAGACACCTGGAAGCAGGAGTGGAACCTGTAAGGTTGGAGACATTTCTCAGCTCCACACCTTACCCCCATTGGGGAAGGTGAAGACCAGGTAGGTAAATATCAGGCTTCAAGCTCTTTAAAGGCCCGTGCCAGTGCACCTCCTGGCCTTCGTTAGGGGAAGGATCCCCAATCGAGATTTGCACCTGTCTGCAGAGATGTGAAAAAAAACACACACAAAAAACCAGGGCAATTAGGTGTTTTCCCCAAACTAATTTGTCCATTTAAATTCTGGGAGTATGTCCTTCCTACTGTGCATAATGACACTTAAAAAAAATGAGCCCTGCCAAAACCAGTTTGGCTCAGTGGATAGAGCGTCGGCCTGTGGACTGAAAGGTCCCAGGTTTGATTCCGGTCAAGGGCATGTACTTTGGTTGCGGGCACATCCCTGGTGGGGGGTGTGCAGGAGGCGGCTGGTCGATGTTTCTCGTCGATGTTTCTAACTTTCTATCCCTCTCCTTTCCTCTCTGTAAAAAATCAATAGAACGTTAAAAAAAAGAAAAATGAGCCCTGCTAAAACCAGTTTGGCTCAGTGGATAGAGCATCGGCCTGCGGACTGAAAGGTCCCAGGTTCGATTCCAGTCAAGGGCATGTACTTTAATTGCGGGCACATCACCAGTGGGGGTGTGCAGGAGGCAGCTGGTCGATGTTTCTCATCTATGTTTCTAGCTCTCTATCCCTTTCCCTTCCTCTCTGTAAAAAAATCAATAAAATATTCCAAAAAAACCAAAAGACAAATAAATAAAATGAGCCCTGTCTGGTGTGTCTCAGGCATCCTGTGCACCAAAAAGTTGTTGGTTCGATTCCTGATCAGGGCACATGCCCAGGTTGTGGGCTTGATCCGGGTAGGGGGCATGCTAAAGGGAGCCAGCCAATCGATGTTTCGCTCACATCGATGTTTCTCCTCTCTCAAAAATCAATAAAAAATATTTAAAAAATGATAGTGATTATACTTTTCTCTAATGTTTTATCATGAAAACTTTCAGACAGAAAAGTTGAAAGAATTGTAGTGAATCTTCAAATATACTCACTGTCTAGTTTCTGCAGTTGTTAATGTTAAATTTTCAACATAATAGATGGCATTAATAAAATGTCTCCCTAAGCAAAAGAAGAAAGTTGACAACCTATTTAGGTACCCCAGTTAAGAAATTGAAATTTCAGAGTCTGAAATCCAAACACCTGTAAATTCACTGTCTTATAAACTTGGAAGTAGGAAAAAAGGCTGGAATTTTGTGTAAAATTCCATTATTGCACTTGTGACACTGTTACCATTATCAAATTCCATTGTTGTCTTTCCCACTGGTTGGGGAGTTCCTTGGGGGCAGTTATTTTTTCCTATTTTTAAGTTAAATTTTAACGACATGAGGAATGTATATGAATATGATCCCAGAGGATTTAAAACACCCCAGACGGCAATGTGATGGTTGCCAGAGGGAGGGGATGGGGGAAGAAAGGGGACCTAATATGAGGTGTCAGGGGAAGATTTGACTTTGGGTGGTAGGCACATGGTCCTATATACACATTTTGTAAATTAGTAATCCACACATGTAATCTATATGTTCATGTTGAGTAATGTCACCCCAATAAAACTTAACCATCTTCCCCTCCCCCCCCCCCAAACACACACCTTTTTAACTCAAAAATGGACCTCTCTTTTCAAAGATTGAGTTCTTTCAGTTTGGGATAGCTTTTTTCTGCATGTTGACATAGGTATGTGCTGGTAGAAGTCGGACATTGGTTTCTGTGCATTTGTTTTCATATGTTGGACATAGAATCCTGGATCCCTCTGCAGCTGCTCTGCAACATCTGCAGGGGATTATTCCAAGAGAGTGCATGTAGATCTATCTTTTTTCATTGCTATACAGTTAATCCACAGTACACTCTGCCACAAGTTTCTGATCCCACAGGGATGGATATTTAGAACAAAACATGGTAAACAATTGCATAATCACTTTCTCTGGGTACATGATCTCCAGGAATATAGTGTAGGTGCTTATAAGAAAATGTCCGAAGGTCTGGTTTGTACAGCTCCCTGTGAAATAAGGTTGTGCTCACACCCCTTTCTGGTATGCAATAAATAATGATGTCAATAGCAAACCTTAATTGTTCACCATGCAAAACCACATCTTCAAACCTTTTCCATGCCTCTTCGCACTTAATTCTGGCAACATTCGAAGGAGAGGGCCAGACAGTGGTGTGTGTGTGCGCGCGTGTGTGTGACCATCATATCCACTTTATTGGAGGGAAATAGGCACAGAGAAGTGAGGCCCAGCAAAGAGGCCACCCTTGGTGAGGCATGAACCCCAGTTGAGCTTTGCACCTAGACTCCTCCCTTCTCCTAAGTTTTAGAGGGGTGGAAGGGGAGGCACTTAACTTTATCCGGAAGGCCTTGCCTCCTTTGCAAAGGTTGATTGTGATGGAAATGAACTTGATTATGTTTTGTGAGTGGGAGAGGGATGTTTGCTGCTTGACTTCTATTTCTACAGTTATCAGTTCCCCAATTTTGCAAAATGGAATGCGTTGGGGCTATACTTCCTAACCGTGGATTTTCTGAATTGGGAACTCTGCGCCTCAAATCCGGCTACGGCTACGGGTCTCGAACCCTATCTCCACGCCTCTCTGACCCGGTGCTGATGTTGTGCAGGGTCTCACGTACTCAGCTGCTGCCTGATAACTAAGGCGGGGCCAGAACCGTGATTGGCATCCGCTTCAGCCAGCCCGCGCCTCAGGCTGTCCCCGAAAGCCAATACCCGTTTGTTCCCCTCGATCCCCGAGGCGTCCTTGTCAATCCGAGGCCTAGACGCCGTCTAGTTGGTTGCGACCGCCTTTGCTGGCATATGCCGCCTCCAATGAAAATGAAGCCGGTCAGCGGGCACGTGGGTAGGCTCCGGCGTGTCCCCGCCTGCCGGCCAATAGGGAGGCGAACCCGAGGCCTGCGCCCGCCCAGTCGAGGCTCGCCGGAGGCGGCTGGTGCAGTGTTGATGGGCCCGGCGGAGGGGAGGGGCGGAGCTGTCAGCAGCAGCCAATGGGAGCGCGGGCGTGGGTTCGGGGGCCAATAGAATCCGGGGCGGGGCTGGCGCACGTCCTCATAAGCCCCGCCCGGAGCGCTCGCGGAGGGCTCGGCCGCCAGCGACCGAGCGGGGCCCGGCCCGAGCGGGACCTGGGGGTGCGACGCCGAGGGCGGGGGAGCGCGCGCCTCTGCTCCGGATCGGGCCGCGCGCGCCGCCTCAGGTGAGCCCGCGGGAGGCGGCCGCCGCATCCGGGCGCGGGCCTTGCCACCGCCGCACCCGCACCACGCCGGGGGCTGTGGGCGGGCGAGCGCCCGGGACTCGAGGCCCAGGCCTCGGGTGAGGCCTGCTCTGGCCGCGGTCGCCGCGCTTTGTCCCGGCCTGTGAGGAGGTTGGGGGCGTTAACCGCCCGGCCCGGAGCGCCCGCTGGGCCTCGGGCGGGGGCGGTGCGGCTGGACAATAGCGGGGCGGGGGACGGGAGGCTGGGGCGCCCTGCCTGGGCTAGGGGCTCGCGGGGGTTGGGCCCGGGCGTCCCCGCCGGCCCCGCACAAAAGATGACAGCGTGGGTGGCCCATCCAGGCCGGCGCTGTTCGGCTGGGCCCTTCTATTATTCACAACAATCCTGATAGTTAAAAAAATAGTAATTATAATAAAGAGAGCCCAGGCCCTGGGTGGAACCCCCTGCATTTCCGGCCCTTTGGGCTCTGGTGGGGTTAACGGGGAGCTTCCCAGGGACTCTGCCTGAAATGTCCATCACTGCATCCCACTCCTCTCCCAGAGTCAACCCGCAGTGCCATCGCGGCTTCCAAACTTGCCTTTCATCTCCGTTAGCCGCCCCTAAAATAAGCATGCAATCTGGATTTTTCATTTTAAAAAATGTATCCACTTGCCATGCACATCACAGATTACAGACGCATCCCACAGTCCCTCCTTCTCTCCGCTCGATCATATATCTCCAAGTCCCCCTTCTCTGTAGCAATAAATTGTGGAGTGGCTTCCGCAACCACCTCCTGGGGCTGTCCTCGCCACCCTTGAGGGAGCTGGGGATGGATTCATTCTGAATGACACCTGACCTGGGATGTGTAAGGGCCCAGGTCTGCACCCCACGGATGCTGTGGCACCAGGGGAATTGGGGTGCACATACACCTGGCAAAGTGAAAGGTTTTACAGGGCTTCCCCTGCTCCCATTCCCACCCCCCACCTCCCGGCCCGGGGGAGGCATGGACTATGCTTCAGTGTGTCCCATCTGTTCTCCTCCCCCATCCTTTTGTTTTAATAATTCAGGTGCACCTGGGAAACTCCCAGTTCTGTTCAGTGGAGTCCAAGATCCTGTTATATGTAAAAAATGTGTCCTTCCCATGTGTTTGTGTCATTGCATTTATTCAGCAAGCTCCTTTGGGTCCCACTGTCTTATGGTCTGAGATGCCTGTCCCACCCCTCTGCTTCAACCGCCAGTTATCTGGCTGCCCCCAGGTGGAGAAAACCCCCAACACCGGCTCATTAGATGACTCCTATGGGCTTCTCTTGCCCCCTTGGTGCAAGAACTAATGACTCCCCCTAATTCTCAAATATTAGCTTCCTTATGAGGCATGGGAGGGCTTGTCAACTCACTGGTCTTTTCTTGCCTCCCTTGCCTCCCTTGCAAAAGCAGTGGGTTGCCTCTCTCGTCTTTGCAGTTTGTTTTTTTGGAAACCGAAGGACAGAGTGTAAAAGCCGAGGAGTCAACTTGTGATTATCTAAGTCTAGGGTTTTTGAAACTCACTGGTCCTCTTTCTGTGCTTTTGATTGGATGCTTGGCAGATTTTGCTGCTCCTCATGCAGGGAGCCCTGTGATGGTCAAACCACCCTCCCCTGGTGGAGGGTGGGGGGCAAGAGAAGATTTTGGTGTGATCACACAAATGTTCCCGGGTGTTGCATGGAGTGTACAAGTGTTTACGGTGTTAGGTGCCTCGTATGCATGTGTGTAGTTGTTGAGACTTGAAATGTATATAGATCTTACTTAGTAACAGTCGACTTTCTTGCATTTTTTAATCCTTGCCTCTTTGAAGAGTGGACTGTTAAATAATGTTAGAGCTTAAATAATGTTCAGGACCCCACTCCGCCTTTGTACTACTTTTCTGTTTTTTAGAAAAGACCCTCCCTCTGTCCTACTGCCTTCCTGAGGAGCTCCCTGGGGCAGTCGGGGGCCCTCTGTGGTGTCTGTGTCTACCCTCCTCTGTCCCCCAATACATAATCCTGCATCTCTCCGTCTCCCCTGCTGGTTTCTCTGCTCCACCCCTTCCCCCTGGCTGACTCATCTGAGCCTCTGCCCTGGAGAGCCCATCTGTTCCTTGGTTCCATCTGACACCTGTGATGGGCATTGGAGATGTGTGAGTGCTGAGGCAGGTTTTGGGGAGCCCCTGCTTTTAAAGGGGCCTCAGATTTAGTGAGGGAAAGAGAAACGGGATGTTCCCACCTATGACAGTGCTGTGGAGCCCACTGCCCTCAGGGCTGGCTCACGGAGCAGGCAGGATGAGGTGATGGGTGCTGAGGAATGGAGAAGGGGACCAAGGCATGGGCAAATAAGCATTTCCAGTTGGCTTGCTTCCCAAGATCTATATTCAGAGCTTCCGTGTGGGGTTCAGAGCTATGTGACCTTAGACTAGTCACTTGCCCAAGAACAAAATGGGGTGGTCACTAAACCTTCCCAAGTGTGGTTAGGCTGTGGAGAGCAAATGAGCTGTGGGCAGATGGCAGGACTGTGAAGGCTCCATACACCTGCTGGGCCCCTATCACACCGCACTAGGGTCTGGCTCTGCCCTTCTGCGGCCACAGCTCTTAGCTGTCCTGCCCCTGGGTACCTCTGCTTCCAGCTGAGAATGCCAGACCGGAGAGGACAGGGCCTAAACCTGGACTCCATTCTGACGTGCTGTTCTTGGCAGTGTCCTTGTCTTCCTATTCTTCATTCCCCTAATGAGTCTGAGGACCTGCGTTCAAATCCCTTCTCTGGGGCAGGTCACTTCACGTCTCTGGGCCTCGCTGTCCTCATTTGTGAAATGGGTATAATGAGAACCCAGTTCCAGTAATTGCGAGGATGAAAGAGGATGAAAGACTCTGAAGTCCTTTGCTTGGCGCCAGGGAGCTGTGAACCCTAAGCTGATTTATTATCACTGCGGTGCTGTCTGATTCTGCCCAGGTCTCCCAATTTGCCCTGTCCATACTCTGGGAGGGCTTTCCTGGGCAATGACGGGTGTTGAGGGGCATCCCTGGCCCCAACCCACTTCATGTCAACAACACTCCCCCCACTACCAATGGTGGCATCTGCATTTCCCAGACATTGCCCAGTGTCCCATGGGGGGTACAGTCACCCACAGGTAAGACTCTCTCACTTAACAGTGGCCTGATATTTGCCCATATCCCCGATGTAGCTCTTATTCTAATTCCCTTTGCCCCCTTCCTCCCTTCCAGTCTTTAATAGGGAGGGACCTGTATTTACAAAGTGTGTCTAGCCCACAGTCCTAGGCCTGGCTGTCCAGGTTTTTCCCACTTGTCACTCTGACTTTCCCCCTACCCTTCCCAGCGTACTGCTTCCATCTCCCCATCCCCCAGGAGAGAAGCTCACAGGCTCTTCCATGCCACCTGAGTCCTTGCCACTGGTCCCTATCCTGTCCGTAGTGTGAGGGTTCTCCTAACTGTTCTTGGCTTCCGGGAACCCACAAATCTCCTACCCAGGTTTCCACACCCTCCTGGCCACCATACCCCTTCCTGTCAATTTGCTTAACAGTTATTCTGGACTTTAAGGTAACTCACTTCTTTAATCTTTGCCTCTTCCTGAACAGTTTTGTCTGTGGAATCATTGGACTGTTAATATACTAGTTTTAGATACTTTTACACAATAAAATTAATTTTAAAAAGTTTGTATTCAATTACTAAGGCCTTAGTGGATCAATGAATTTATTTTGTTGTCAGATGAATTGGTTTTTGAATTTACTCCTGGTTTGAATTGGCCTGTGCTGGGAGCATCTTGGTTAGATAAGGTGTCTTGACGCTCTTTTTTCACTCCTCACTCAAGGCGCTTAAAAACCTTTAAAAATGGCCTTCCTCTGCTTAGAACCCTCTAGTGACTTCTTGTTTTTGGAAAAAATTCCAACTCCCTTTCCTTGGCCTCCCTCTTTGTCCTCTGTGGTGTTCTCCTCTCCCACCTTCCTACTCCCCTCCCCTCCTGTGCCTGTACCCCTTCAGTCTAACCAGCTTCCCTGCCTACTCTGCCCTGCCTCAGGGCCTTTGCACTTCCTGTTCCCTCTGCCAGAATGCGGTCACCTCAATCTCTACTCAGCTAGCTTCTTATCTTTAGGTGTTGGCTCAGAGAGGCCATCACTGACCACACTGCCTATATTCACCCTCCCAACCACCCTTGCTCCCATCCTGCCTGTTCTTCTTTGTGCTTAGTATTACCAGAAATGCATATTAATCTGTTTATGTATTTGCTGTCTCTTATTCATGAGGGGGAGCTTTTCCTGTAAGGGTCAGGCGAGATGGTGTCTGTTCCAACTATTCCACTCTGTCTTTGTAGCACAAAAGTATGAGTGGGTGTATCTGTGTTCCAATAAAATTTTACTTATGGACACAGAAATGGGAATTTCATATACTTTTCACGTGTCATGAACTATTTTTCTTCTTTTAATCTCCCTCCCCCCAGCCATTAAAAAATTCAGAAACAGTTTTAGTTTGTAGGCTGTACAAAAGTAGGTGGCAAGCTGTGTTTGACCCGCAGAATAATGTCTGTCTTCATTGCTGCATGGCTCTCTAGCACCTAGGGCGGTTCTTCGCACACAGTAGATGCTCAGCAAACATTAGTGTGTTAATGGAGTGAGTTTCCATCTTTCTTATATCAAAGCACTTAGAGTCATAGTCTGTATTTTAAAAAATGGGTTTCAAGGGAATTTAAAAAGTACAGGGGATATAAGAAAATGTTATGACTCCATCCACCCAAAAAACCTCATAGTAAGGGAGAAGAAAAAGAGCCTGTGTAAATGGGGAAATATTTTGCTGTTTGTAAAAGCCTGACTTTTTCATTCTGCTTCACTCCATGCCTTTTGCATAGCATCCCATCAGAAGATTGGTAAGGCATACTCCTGGCTTTAAAGAGTTTGCTTTGGCTCAGCGGAAGCTGAGGGTTTAAGAGGAAGACACTGTTTCCTAACCATTTGGTTTTGTAAACATCCTACCTATCTGCTTCACCCG